CATTATATATCCAAAAAGGTAGCCAAAGGCCTGGGAATCAGTGGCGTGCTGGCAGGGGGGGCCGGGGGGCCACGGCCCCCCCCCCAGCTGGCAATTCTTGGGGGGCGCAAAAATGAAAATGGGGCGCCGAATTTTGAAAGTGGGTGGGAAAAAACACATTCTCGAAAAAATATGGTTACTTCCGCCAAGAAAAGACGTGTTTATAGGCTACGGTATAAATCAGACTAAGCGCATAGACGACATATATTAAACTACAGACTATTTTGCCTAACCGTATTTGCTACCTCACAGCTCACACGAAATCGTTCATATAAAAACATGATCAGTGATCACAGGCAATGTCTCATTACCGGAATATTGGTCAGGTTTCGATCGAAGCGATCACGGGAATTGTGCCCTTTTTTCTGGTATTATGCCCTTATAATATGCCCTTTATTATGCTTCACGAATCACGAGGGCGGCGCAAATTGGATAGTTGAAGTTATGATAACTGATGTAAAGTTGTGTACGCAAATTAGCTGTTTGCACAAGAAGCATGAGTAATGTAAGTAATGAAATAATGCTGAAACATGCCCTTTGGGCAGCCAGGCAAAGAAACCTTAAAATGCATATGCGTGGGGTGCGTGTGTTATTGTATAAAAGAGCTTTAAGTTGTAAATGTGCTCAGAACAGTAGATCAGTAGAGAACAGAATTGGGATTAAATTAATCGCTGGAAGTAGTTAGCGCTAGCATTGCATAATTTAAGTACTACTACTAAATCCTAACCAAATTGCAAATTTCGGCACGTTGTAATGCCGTTTTCTGACCATCAGATTTCTGTCAAATCTTCCCCCAAAGTCCAGGAAATGGCATTTCAGAGACTCTAAATTCAATAATTTTCCTGGGGGGCATGCCCCCGGACCCCCCTAGACAAACCTCGCACCTGCGGCACAAGGCTCGTGCCTTCGGCCCTCGTTTATCAAGTGTAACATTATAGGGGCGCATATTGGTTGACAGCCCACTGGCCCCTCCAGAAAAATAGTACCCAGCACGCCACTGCTGGGAATGTTAACACGCATTCGTGATCTGGTGCCAATTAACACGCTAGCTGACATATACTCTTCTATCATTCTCCCCCATTTTGATTATTGCAGTTCTGTGTGGGATAATTGCAGAAAAGGTTTAAGGGATAAGCTTCAAAATTACAATATCGAGCAGCTCGAATAATTACTAGGAGCAACTACGAAATACGCTCTTCCCAAATTTTAAATAACTTAAATTGGCCGACACTAGAAGATAGGCGAATGAAACAAAAATCTTGTCTAATGTTCAAAGTGTTCCACAAATTAGGCCCATCTTATCTTTCACAGCCATTTTATCGAGCGAATTTAATTCACAGTAATCTACCAACACGAGGTCATGACTCTACAATTTTGTTATCTCTAAACCAAACACCAATTTTTTTGAAAAATAGTCTCGAATATAATGGAGCAGTGGCATGGAATTCAATACCAATTAAAATTAGGAATTCCACTTCCCTAAAAATATTCAAAAATAAACTGTAAAATTAATTTGTTATGTATATAGCTTTAATTTCTCAATCTCCTTGTAAATATTGTAAATATTTCAAATGTCACGGTGCCTGGGAAAGTCATCTTATTTTCGATGACGCGCCTCCGGGCCAAAATAAAGTTCACTATCACTATAAGCAATCTTTTATTGCAAGATCTAGTAAATATATATCAATCTGATAACATTCAACTTTGTCTTTTAACTTAGCCTTTTTAATATTAGATTTTTTAACTGTAATTATTGATCTTATTTATTATGACTCAATGTAAATCCATTGTATTTTTAAATCCCAAAGATGGATATTAACAAATTCAATTAAGAATGCGACTATTAAACGAATATCTTCTGGACAGGTGGCATCTGGAATTGATACTAATATCGACGTGATTATGAACAAAATATACGTACCGAAAGTAAGCCGAACGTTTTCGGGAGGTCGACATTTGCATTGGTGTGGTACGATTGGTTCGCTGGAACGGAGGACTCCGGAAAATTATCTTCGCGCTGGTGAACGCGTCCATCGAAAAATAATATAGCATTTGTATCATTTATCATATTTTTATATATTATCACATTAATGAATATACATTGTTGCTAATATACTGGAAAGGATTCATTTGAAATCCAGTCTAAGTACGTTTTATAGCATTTTACACTTTTACGTTCGCAGACTGACTTTCTAGTTCATGAGGTTCAGGATAATATTATTGCCAGCCAGATGCAACGATATATCGAATATCTTCTGGACGGACGGCAGTCAAAATTAATACAAATATCGACGTGATTATATGGACAGAACAAAATTACCGAAACTAAGTCGAAATTTTTCCGGAGGTCGACACTTACATTCGTGTCGTGATTGCTTCGCTGGAACGGAGGACTCCGGCAAATTGTATTCGCGTTGGTGAACGCATAAAATGTGCTTTTTATTTTTTACAGGAATGTGCATATGCCAGACCTCATAATTCGCAACATTTGTCAAAGGCCACCATAGATCGGGACCTTGTTCTCGCACGTCGTACTACCTTTATTGTTTTGTATTTGAAAATGAGAAAAGCAAGAACAGACGTATTTCAGAAATGAACGGCCGTGAACTTTTTCAGTCAGTTTGTACGCAGCTTTGTAACACCATATCAGCAATTCCGACATGGTCCACGGTACTTCTAGCAAACGCATCAAAGTTAGATGAATTGTTGCGTAACATACCAGCCATTCGATTTTTTATTTCCGCCATAACCGCGGTTGAGGCTTCTCAACGAGACGACGACTATGCGATTTACCCTTCCGTTTCTTATTTTATCGTTTATTCTCTTAGCGAGGTTTGCACCGAGGAAATAATTTTCAATGTTCTACACAAAGAAGACACAGAGGTGGACGTTGCCCCCATTAAATCACGAAAATGTGGGGATGGCGAAACTTGCACTCATGTCGTACGATTTCATCGCTGGAACGGAGGACTGCGCAAAATTGTCTTCGCGCTGGTGAACGCGTCCAACGTAAATTAATTCTGCTTTTAAGAATTAATTAACTAGTACTCTTTTAATACCTTCTTGGGCCGCAATCTTCCATCGTATCATGCCAGCTGATAAGATCGTTTCTGTCACGAGCGAGAGGCAGTTCTGGGTCAGTATGATGCAGGAAGACACACAATTCTACTACGTCATCAGCTATTGTCGTTCAAGAGTTGCACGAGAGAGTGCGACGCACGCGCAGAAAACCAATTTGTGAACGCCATCGTGTGGAAAACACAGAAAAGTATTTTCGCAGTTTTTTATCCATTTTTAATCCGTTTTAATCCTTTCCATCATTGGTTTTTTGGAATATATCTCTTCGAGAAGAAGAAGAACGGCAAATCAAAAGACTAGATAAGTACAAAAGTTACGTATAACGTTGTTTTAAAGGGTTTTTTAGGCAATCTTTGAAAACAGAAATGGCCGACGCGAGTGCAAAAGCACTCGAGGCTTCGGTTTCTACCGATATTATCGGTGACAATAGCTCGCAAAATTCTGATAAGTTGCTTTCCGCCTTAGCTCAAATGCAGACAAGTTTTCAAGAAGCCCTATCAAAGCAAACGAACTCGCTACTCAAGTTTTTTGATGAGGATAAAGGGCGAAAGTCTGCGAGAAAACGTTCCCATACTCAAGATGAGTCGGACGATTCAGACTTTGTCTCTGAGGCTTCAAAGAGAGCAAAACATCCCTCAAAGACAGGGAAAACTTCATCTGGCAATGACCAGGAAGAAAATGAGCACCAAAGGTGTCAAAGCCAAGAAACTGACCATGAGGTCGTAGAATTATTTATTCCGGGGAAAACTCTCAACAAAATCGCGATGTCGACGACACGCTAAGTCTTTTTGGCGGGCCGGAATTTAATGAGGACGAACAGGACAATGAAAATTTGGTTTCATCAGAAGATACAGGCCCGCCTATTACCGATAAACTTGCGAGCATTGTAAACAAAAAGTTTTCCGACGATGTTGATTTAACAAAACTAAAATCCATCTTGAATACACACAAGAAACCGGAAAACTGTACTGAACTTTTCGTTCCTAGAGTTAATACAGAAATCTGGCATAAAATGAAGCCCCATCAAAGGAAGGCTGACATTAAGTTTTCAAACCTTCAAGATACCCTAATCAAAGGCGTCTCAGCCTTGACGACAGCATCAAATGGTTTGCTTGTTTGCAGGGAAACAAAAACCCTGCCAAATTATAAAGATCTTCTTTCACAATTACTTGATGCTACTGCATTATTTGGCCATGTTTGCCAAAAATTATCCTTTAAAAGGAAAGAAACTATAAAACCGATACTTCATCCAGATTTTAAATCGGTTTGCTCACGTACCCACAAAGTTGGGAGATTATTATTTGGCGAAGACCTGCCCAAAGTTGTGCAGGACTTACGAGCCTCCACAAAGGTGGTGACAAAACTTACCTCTTTTGTACCTCAGGGAAACCAATCTGGTACAAACAAATCATCTTATACTCGCTCGCCTAACAACAACAACAAACATTTTTTATCACAGAGGGGAAGGAACCAATACCCTCCCCGAAAGCCATATCAACAGAACAAAAAGACATACACAAAGAAATAGACAAAGTATCAACACAGGTAAAAGATTTTCCAAAAATTGTTGATGAACAACTTAAATGTTACCTTGAAAAAGAAGTTTCTAATTTTCAGGCTGGTCAGATCAAAAAATTTTCTCATGAATGGAGTAAAATTACTTCAGACCCAGATATTCTAAGTATGGTCCAAGGTGATCATATCACTTTTGAAGGGCAAGTACCAGTTCAACACAAATCAGTACACTAAACAAAAAGGATGGGAATATACGACTAATTTTAAACTTAAAGAAACTTAACGATTCAGTTGAATACCATCTTTTTAAAATGGACAATATTTATACTGTCCTAAAACTGGTCTCCAGAGATTGTTGGATGTCATCCTTAGATTTAAAGGATGCATATTATAGTGTGCCCATACATCCAGAGTCTCAGAGTTTTCTAAAATTTTACTATAATGGGAATTTGTACAAATTCCAAGTTTTTCCCAATGGGTTATCCTCATGTCCTAGAAGATTCACAAAATTGTTGAAACCAGTTTTAGCCACTCTACGACTAGAAGGGCATGTTACAGTTATCTATATAGATGACCTTTTGGTGATTGGAACCACTTATGAGCAATGTGTAAGATCTGTAATCGAATCCTTTAAACTTTTAGAGAGTTTAGGTTTTGTCATTCACCCAGAGAAGTCATCCTTTGTTTCCAAAACAATGCATAACATTTTTAGGTTTTAAAATAAATTCAGTAACTATGACGTTAAGGCTCACTGAAGAAAAAGCCAAAAAATTGATGAATTTGATCACAAAGGCTCTACAATCCCCTAATAATATACAAATTAGGGAGATTGCTCGAATTATTGGTCATATGGTTTCTTCATTTCCTGCCGTAAAATATGGTCCTTTATATTATAGAAATTTAGAGCATGATAAGACAAGTGCTCTAAAGCAGTCAAAGGGCAATTATGGCGGTCACATGAATATTTCCAAAAACTCAGAGCGTGAGTTAAATTGGTGGCTTCATAATGTTAATACTAGTTTCAATACCATAGAAATTCCCCCAGTGGATGTAGTGATCTACTCTGATGCCTCTCTGCAAGGTTGGGGAGCAGCCTTGGGTGAGCAGTCAACTGGGGGAGGTTGGGCACAAAGTGAGAAGAACCACATAAACATCCTTGAATTAAAAGCAGCTCTTTTTGCTTCAAAGTCATTTGCTTCTGAGGTCAAGGGAAAACATGTTAAAATTATGATTGATAACAGCTCCACGGTATTTATTATCAACAATACGGGTACCAGTCATAACGATACATGTAATTCAATTGCACTCGAGACACGCGAATTTTGTATCCAAAATCAGATTCGGCCTACTGCTACTCATTTGCCGGGGTCATGCATTGTGGTGGCAGATAGAGAATCTAGAACCCTGTACAAGGATGCAGAGTGGATGCTAAATCCTAAGGATTTGGCATCAGCACTGGAATAATTGCAGTTTCAGCCTGAAATTTGACTTATTTGCATCTAGGCTAAATAAACAATTTAAAAATTATTGTTCATATCGGCCTGACCCTGAAGCATCTCATATTGATGCATTTTCAATATCTTGGGAAAAGTTAAATTTCTATGGTTTTCCTCCTTTTAGTTGTTTTTAAAGACACTAAGGAAGATCATCCAGGAGAGGGCAAAAGGAATTATTGTAATCCCAAACTGGCCAACGCAAGTATGGTATCCTCTCGTAAAACCTTTGTTATTGAAACCTCCTCAGAGACTCCATCCATCCAAAACATTGCTCCACCTAGCAATCAAACATGCATAAAGAAATGGGAAACCTTTTGCATCCAAAATGAATGTAGTTTCCTAGATCCTCCTATACCTAAAGCAGTTGTTTTCTTAACAGGATTGTTTTCAGCAAGGATTATCATACACCTCAATAAATACAGCTCGCAGCGCTTTGTCTGCCTTATTGCATCGCAAGGATAATACTATTCCCTTCGGACAGTTACCATTAGTAAAACGATTTATGAAAAGAATCTTTGAACTTCGCCCTAGTTTTTCAAGGTACGCAGCTGTCTGGGATGTAAATAAAGTCTTTGACTATTTTAGACAGAAATGTGATGTCTCGGATTTATCACTTAAAGAGCTTTCTGAAAGGTTGACAACTTTGTTACTACTCCTAAGTGGACAACAATCTCAAACAATACACTTATTATCTATCGCAAGTATGGAGCTTTCTCCAACCCGATGTGTTTTTCAAGTAAAAGAAAAAGTGAAACAATCTCGAGTAGGTTACCATATTGCTCCTATAGTGTATGAAGAATATCCGAAAGAACCAGCCCTCTGTATTTTAATGCACATCAAGGAATATATTAAGCGTACACAGAAGCTTCGCGATCCGGAACTTTCTCAACTATTAATTAGTTATGTTAAACCAAATAAGCCAGTGTCTCGAGAAACTATTGCTCGCTGGTGTAAGAATGTACTTAAATCAGCAGGAATTGATACCAAAAGATTCAGCTGTCATAGTACTCGGGCGGTATCTACTTCATCAGCAGCAGAAAAATCGGGCGATATTGACAAAATCATTAGCTCGGTTGGCTGGTCAAACGCTAAACTTTTCAGACATTTTATAAGAAACCTGTGGAACAAACCTTTAACTTGGGTACGATCATTTTGAACTCATTAAATTAACTGTTAGATGTTATACATTGTAATGTTGTTTTACAAATACATATTCTTGTTGTTGTAGTTGGGTTTAATTTGGGAACTTTAGTTTTCTCTGACTTCATTACTGCTGTGAAATCTCGTGCAACTCTTGAACGACCATAGCTGATGACGTAGTAGAATTTAAAAATTAAACGAAACTTACCTGTAAGGTGAAGTTTGATTGTAATTCTACAAGTCATCAGCGGGGAGTGAAAGAGTTGCAGGCCCTGCCCAATGATTTTCCCACCCAACTCTTTCACTCCTGCTAATGGAGTCTTGTCTACTGTGAAGTCTGGTTTTCTGCGCGTGCGTCGCACTCTCTCCTGCAACTCTTTCACTCCCCGCTGATGACTTGTAGAATTACAATCAAACTTCACCTTACAGGTAAGTTTCGTTTAATTTTTAAATTAGTCATCATCAATGAATGGTCTTCCATCGCCCCAGCACTTTCGAAAAGTCTGTTGCAAGAAGGCTGGATGGTGAGTGCTGTCAAACATGAAGAGCCACGATGTATTTACAACAACAGTCCATTCTGCATCACGACTAATCACCAGCCTGACTTCGGCGACGAAAACGACAGTGTATATAGAAGAACTCAGATTTTCCGAACCCGGACCCTTCCGTCACCAATACCTGGAACCCACCGGTGGATCAACCTCGTCCCCAGGGCCTTTTAAGGAAGGAGGCGAAGGGCAGCAAAGGCCCTGGTAAAGGCTGGTGAAATAATCCACAAATTGTGGATTATTTTGTCACGTGATATATCGGAGCAAATAGTATACAGGGGGGTGCGATCGCGGATCGCTTTAGCTACAATATATTCGTCAATATTTATTGCATAAACACCGAAATCGACGAATAAAGAACAAAAATCTATTTTAAAATGAAAAAATCTGTTACCAGTAAAGTTCTTCCAAAAATATTGAATAAAGTTGAAATTGTCTTCAAATTAGCTCTGAGAACCTTGATTGAACTGTAAAGGAGATCTATTAAATAGACAAAGCAACAGTGCAAAACGAATGGATCGATAGAAGCATTTATACTATGAATTTAATACTGTCGCAAGGAAATTGCTGCCTCGATTGTGAAACAGATATGTAAAATCACTTTAATTTAATAATATGGACTCCATGATCATCAAAACATTTAATAGTTATTGTTGCTACAGTAGATCTTTCTTGCAAATGTCAATATCATACAGTATATTTATTAAACAGTTAAAGGGTCAGTACAAGACCCAAAGAATGTCTGAAAAACAAGGAATGTCAACTTCGTATGCACTTGGAATTTAAATGCTTATGTTAGCCATATGCCCCGAGTATAACCTGGTTGACCTCCGTGGTTAAATTAACATTTCCTGAATTTAATTGAGTTGAAATATTTGATTTCATTTTCATTCTTATCCCAAGAACATTGTGAACACACATATAGTGCTTTGGGTTTAGATTTCAAAGGCCAAGCTTCAAAACAAATGTTGTGATCTTAATGATCAGGCATTCCCAAACAATTACATGCATGAGGGTCAAATCAGACAGAAAGCCTCCATATGCTTTATCAAGGCTGAATACTATAATGAGATGGAATTAATTTCCTCATACTGTTAACAAGCCCTTGTTTTTGTTTGTAATCAATTACACAAATTACTTCCCAGAACATTATTTAAGGAGATTATTTGACAAGTCAGCAGGTACATTTTTTCCTGAGCCTCAATTGGGGCAATTCAGTGTCACCCATCACAACAGGCGCTCAAAGTCACTCACAACATACAACAGGCAGTTCAGCATCACTCACCACAATTGACTGTTCAATACTGTGTGCCTCAGTAGGCAAATCAATAATCAATATTTTGCTCAGATCAACAACAAATATCAAAATTGAACTCATTCTCAAAACATGATACAATAACAAGGGGTCTCTTATGGACAAATACAAGTCACCGGCCTGGTGTCAAATGTATCAAGTGACAAGATTATTCATCTCTTTTAATTTAAATACATTTTGCCGCCTTGTAATAAAGTACTATTTTGTTGGTGACCATCAGTTGAGCAATTTAAAACATTTGCAGTGTATGCTTTATCAGACCTAAAGATACTTGAATTCACCTCGTATCTTTATACCTGATACAACTATAGTACTGTACATAAAATAATAACCATGATATTTAGCCTGAATATTATTATAGATGTATGAAGGATATTATACATATATTCTTGATGCTCAACATTATCCGATAATCATTTAACATGAAATCCGATAATCATTTAACTATTGAGAATTGTGTGAATTCCTGAATTACTTATTGTTACAGACTGTACTGACCTCTTGCAATTATGGTTATTAACCAAAATCTGACAATATCTCTAGTTAACCCATTGAGCTGCAATGTGCCCCAGTGTGCCCTACTTACTGAAATTGACTGATTTGTGGTTTATGGGGGTTTTTGTGGCAATTCGTTGGGCATCACAAGTGCATTTGTATATCTTAATCATATCATATTATATCATGAATAAACATTTAATAACCAAAAAGAGAATCAATGCATAATATAATCAAACAATTTAGATGAATTTGATGCAGATGATTTGCTAGCTTGAACCAATGTCGTCGAACAGCCTTTATTCTATCCGACAATAATAATATGAACTGAAAGCTGGCCAGCTTTTTGTGGCAAAGCAACTTTCCCGTTCGGGCAACCAAGAAGGAACTTTTACTTGCCCATCATGATATTCACTTGCCCCGGGCAAGTGTTAAGTTACACCTCTGAGCATAGTAGTTGCCATTTGGCAGCTGTTGGTCTGGTTGAAGTGCTCAGATAATTTGGGGAAACCCATGGCATACTCTCTCAACAGTGAAGGTTCAAAAACACACATGCCGGAATGCTTATAGAATACCTCGCCATTTTTCTGTATTCATTGACACATAAATATGTACAAGAATCCCTTCAAAATAGTTTAAGGGTAAAGTTTAGAGATTAAATCATATGAGTATGTTAGTTTGGTTCAAATTTGACTGGGGGGTTTTGAAGAATGAGGCAATCATATTAGATCAATTTTGAGTAAATTGACAATGTTTACAAGGAATTAATAGCGGTAAGATGTGAAAGTTGTGGGTATTCTATAGTTGCATCAAAAAAGTGGAAAACCAAGCTAAAAGCCCTTTAATGTACTTTAATGTTTTTTTAATGTTTGTCCCACATTAAAATATATTGAGTCAATGACAGTGCAACTGTTCATATTAAAACGTTCTAATCACATTTTACATGCACATTTGTATTCAGTAGTAATTTTTTCATAAAGGTACATCAAAGTCCCAAATCAAATTCTTCACTGACAGTATGTTATTGACTCCCAAACGACAAATATTATAAAACACGCTTCCAAGCTGAAAAGAAATATTTACTGTTGCCAGTCAGTGATTAGACCCTTCTCTTTGAATCTTGATCTTCGACAAGTATTGCTGTTGATTATATTCCATATTTTTTTGAAGAACATCGCAGACTATATATTTATTTCCACTGTCAGTTGAAAAGTTTATCATCATAGTTTCAGTCGCAAAAGCTTCTATCGCCCCTTTGCACGGCCATGTTTGATAAAACCAAAGCGGCCCGCACCCCCGGTTTGAAAAGTTAAATATTCTGAAATATTCAAAATTTGAAGCATCACGTGACCAGCCTTTACCAGGGCCTTTGCTGCTTCGCCTCCTTCCTCAATAGGCCCTGGGGACGAGGTTGCCGGTGGATCTATATATGCCATGGACTGTATTGTTTGGATGACGAATGTTATCAATGAACACATCGAGTTAATTGAGCAAGAAGAACGATGGTACGAGGACACGTCAGCTAATAATTTGATAATTAATATATAGCACGAATAATTTTCTCATTTATTATTATATTATCTATGAATATACAATCATTAACGTTCTGCACAACGAAGACACAGAGGCGGACATCGTCCCATTAAATCACGAAAGTTTTGGGACGGCGATATTCTGGCCCGCATTCGTTTCAATGTCGTTAAAGGCTATAATCATCAGTTTGTCAATGGAATGGTCGCAACCAGTAACGCTCGCGGTATTCAACGTTTTCTGATAAATCTTGCCAGTCCAACGTTTTCGCCACAACACTTTTCAGTCACTTCCACGAGGATTGTTGTTGTCGACGCCCAATTTGGCACAGATATCAATGCCGCGAGAGAAAATTTGGAAGCAGACGGCTTTAAGTGCGAGGTTCACAGCTTTGACCAAATCCCACCACCAGTGCCTCGGATTACCGCCACAAGTAGATTAACAGAAACAATTGGCAACTTCCATGGCCCCAGCACTTGCAAAAAGTCTGTTGCAAGAAGGCTGGATGGTAGGTGCTGTCAAGTATAAAGAACCACGATGTTTTTACAACAACCGTCCATTCTACATTTACGACTAATCACATGCCTGACATCGGCGACGAAAACGTCTATCGGAGAACTGGCGTTATCCGAACCCGAATCCTTCCGTCACCAATACCTGGGGCGGTATGTTTCAAAGAAGATTTCCTAATAGGCAGTGGCCGACCGGTGGATTCATGACCATGCCATGGACTATGTTGTTTGGATGGGTAATGTTATCGATGAAAACATCCAGTTAATTGAGCAAGAAGAACGATGGGACGAGGACACGCGAGGTAATAATTTGAAAATATTTATCACGTATCATATTTTCATATATTATATTATCTATGAATATACCATTACTAATGTATATTGGAAAGGATTAATTTAAAATCCAATCTCCATTCTACGTTAAGACTAATCACATGCCTGACGTCGGCGACGAAAACGACAACGTCTATAGGTATTAAAAGAATGAACAAATGAAGTTTTATAACAGATCTGAAGGCATCAAAAGAAGTTGATATTAACCGCAATGGGGATGGTGTAGCAGAGAAATCAAGAGGCTAACACAATTTATGAGCTAAACCTGTGATGAATAACTTGCTGACGACAACTGGTTCCCTCATCGAGTTAAAGGAATTCGTTGATAAGTATCTAAACATTAAAGGGGAATGGACTTCACCTGGTGGTCATGTTAAACTATTTACCGCTGAGGCTCCAGATCTCACAATAACAAAAGCCCGCAATGCATGACCCTGACACTAATCCTTTAAGTAGAAATTACAATCTTTTATAAATTTCATCTCTTCCGCATCTCATAACAATCAGGAAAACAGTACTGGTGGTAAAAATAGCTTTGCTAACAACGTTTGTAAATCACCCTCTATTGTAAACAATCAATTCCATGAGAACAAAGACTGCGCATCAGGCGATTCACTAATTCTTTTAGATGAACCGCAACTGAGTGATGTTGACAACAAAGCCCTCAATCCCGCTAGCGTAATTAATTTAACAAAGAAGACGAACCTTCCACTCGTACTAGTAATCAGTATCACGGAAATAACATCAGTGAGTCGGCTAATGTAATCCACTTATCTGTTGAGAAATCATCATCCTGCCGCGGAGAACAATTACATGAAATAGGAAAATTGATTACAAATAATAAAACGCTTAAGGAATTATCCCAGCAAACTCGAAAAAGCTCGATCCCGTGCCCATATTTGTTTGGAAGGGGTTGGAGTATAAAAGCAAGCAAATGTGATTATTCTCACCAAAACACTGGCAGAGAAAAAATTGAGTCGCCCGAAAGTGAAGTGCCGTGTCCGTTTTTGAAGAAAAGAGGTTTTTGACTGAAAGGAACAAGTTGTGACTTCTTACATTCTATAAAACCGCAACCGTCAGCAAGACCAAGAAATATGTCCCGATATGTCCCCACCTCCCCATCCGTTCCCCTCTGTCAACCAAGCATTGGACAAGACGCAAGGTTTCCTTTTTTATGTCCTGCCCCCAGGTTTGTGACTCCCTCCTCCCCCCCTCATTAATGAATGTCCCTACCTGACCTCCCCGGATGTATTGAATTGTACAGATCAATCGAACTATACACATGAGATTAAAGGACATAACCCCGCTAACTGCATTTCTATAGACCTTCCGACCAATAAAACTAAGGGGTCCGAGACAGAATATGTCCCCTCGTTTCTGCTATCAAATGTGATGTCACTGTCTCCAAAAATAGACGAAGTACGTGAAGTAATACGCTGTGGTAATTATGAATTTGTCAGTCTGGTAGAGACTTGGCTACAGAGTCACATTCACGATAATGTTATCAACATACAAGGATATAACCTAATTCGTAGAGACAAGGTCGAAGGCACCCATGGTGGTGTTTTTTTGTTTATATTAAAGATTCCATAGCTTTTACAGTGCTTGATGAACTTTATAACAGTTCATTTGAAATACTGTGGATCAACATCCGACCCAATGACTACCCAGAGGAATTACTAACCTGATAGTTGGCACAATATACCACCCTACCAGCGCAGAAAATTCAGACATGTTGGACTATCTTTCATATTGTTTGTCACTATTAGAGTCGCGTTTTCCCAACTGTGGCCTTATTGTCTTGGTGGCTTTAATAAGTTAAACGTGTCGAGACGAAGATCGTGTTATAATCTGAAACAACTCGTAAATTTCCCACACCTGGGAATAATACGCTCGATATAATCCTCACAAACCTTAGCACCTATTACGACAAACCTACCAAATGTGCCCCGTTTGGGTTATCCGATCACGTAACCATTGAGATTAGACCAACTAAACGATCACAAGTTCAAGAAACATCAACAGCAACAGTAAAAGTGAGAGACCTAGTTCTCGCTTTGCTGTAAGGAAATATATAGAGATGGTAGACATTCCCACCTTGCTTAACACATGCCACTCATGTAAAGAAAAACATCCTTAATCCAAACAATAATTAACAATGGGTTGGATTCAATTATTCCGCTACGTAATAAAACTGTCAGATTAAATGAACTTCCCTGGATGAAAACAACATTGAAAAAGCCTTCAACCAGAAAAGAACCACATAATTTAAAAGGCTGACGAATCAAATCAACCGCCAAAGGAAAAATGTCGGGCAAAATATTACGAAAATAGCGTTCACCTTTTTAAAACAGTGTAAACCATCAGCACGGTGGAAAGAGGTTAAAAAGCTTAGTGCAATGAACGTAATCTCAGATGAAATTGTGAAAGCTTTGAGACCAGGAGATGACCCTTCTAGCTCAGATAAAAGATATTCAGCCAACGAGATTAATAATGCCTTTTTGGCCCCCATGGCTAGATATGCGCCGTTATCTTCAGTACCTCGCCAACATTTCATCCAACCTGCACAAAGTGATACAGTAATTACTGTAACATCGAATGCTGCTTTTCAAAACCTTCTCAAACTTAATCCCAAAAATGCTCATGGTCCGGATGGCATACCGTCGTGGCTCCTAAAAGAAAACGCAGATCTATTAGCTGGCCCGATAACGGCCATTTTGAACTGTTCATATCGGGAATGTACCCTACCGCCAGTTTGGAAGAAGGCGGACGTAGTTCCAATACCGAAAGAAAAGCCCATCCATGATATCAATCGTCAGTTACGCCCTATTTCACTTACACCTATTCTATCGAAACTCGCAGAAGAATTTGTTGTAATGATTTATGTGAAGCCAGCAGTGATGGAATTGATCGATAGTAAACAATTTGGGAGGGTGCCGGATAGTTGTACGACATATGCTCTTATAAGCATGCTACACATTTGGAATAAGGATACGGATGGTAACGGTTCGACAATTCGAGTTATGAAGTTAACAAAGTATAACATACCGAGGTCTGTCATGCTTTGGATCTTAGACTTTCTGACTGACCGAGAACAGAGGGTAAAACTCAGCCAAGATTGCCATTCCGAATGGGGGAAGGTCCCAGCCGGCGTCCTTCAAGGCACAAAGCTCAGCTCATGGTTCTTTTGTATTATGATTAATGATCTAAGTGTGAAGGATGTTAATGATTTATGACGACTCATCCTTGTCGGAATCAGTTTGTACCGATGGCTCAGGTAACTTACAAAAGTACGTAGATGAATTTAACCAGGAATCAACAGCAGTGGCGTAACGTTATATCAGGGGGCCCCCGGTTCAAAATTTTCGAAGGCCCCCCCTAGTAGAAGTGCCAAAGGCACAAGTCGAGCGCCGTATATGCACGAGTTTTTAGGGGTCTAGGGCATGCTCACCCGGAAAATTTTTGAATCTAGACTCTCTGAAATACCATTTCCCAGACTTTGGGGAGAGATGTTACAGAATTCTGATGGTCAGAAAACGACATTGTGACATATCAGAGGCCCTGGCCAATGTTTTTGCTTCACAGCCTGAGCCTGGGGGCCCCCATTTGGCCCATTGGGATTGGGGGCCCCCGGGTTCGCCCGGTCCGGGCCCATAGTAGTTACGCCACTGATCAACAGCCGATGGCTCAGATAAAGGAATCAAAATGCAGGGCCGTAGCAACCGGGGGGGCTGGGGGGGCTGCAGCCCCCCCCCCCCCAATAATTTGGTAATAATCATTCTTTTTTCAAAATCATGCAAACTTTATCATTTAATCTGTGACAAACTGCAAAGAATGAAGATATTACTCATACTCCAGATCGTTCCTCGCGTAGAAATTTTAGCTGAATTTCTGTCGCGCATTTTCAAGAAAATCCCACAAAATCTGCACATTTTTGATGAACTAATGATTTGTTTTGTCTTTTGCGTGTTGGGTCTTGCGAAAGAAAACTCTGAAAATGCCATTTCAGACCATCTAGAGACTCCAGATTTTCGAAATTGTCTCAAATGTTCTGCCTTCATTTCCGCGCAACTGCCATTTACAACGAAAATTCCCGCCGCGCATTTATAATACTACAGTCTGGCCCATACTTTCCTGTAAATTTCGACATACTAAAACGCTGTTTTCTGACTATCAGAATTCTGTTAAATCTTCCCCCAAAGTCCAGGAAATGGCATTTTAGAGACTCTAAATTTAAAAATTTCCTCGGGCCTTCGGCCCTCGCTTTCAGCCCCCCCAATCGAAAAGAGCTTCCTACGGCCCTGAAATGCATAGAGTTTTGCACCATCCACACGTGAGTTCCAGCCAATTACTGTTAATGGGGAAATTGTCGAACGTGTAACATCGGTAAAATTGCTGGGTCTAAGCATCTCAAATAACCTGAAGTGGAATAGTCATATTTCACACATTTGTAAAAAGGTCGCACCACGTCCATATTTTTTAAGACAATTAAAACGAGCGAAATTACCAGCTAACGACCTAATCCTTTTCTACTACTCCACCTGTATTCGACCAGTCATCGAATATGCGTGCCAAGCATTTCACGACTCATTACCCAAATATCTGTCTGATGATCTTGAACGACTTCAGAAACGGGCTTTTCGAATAATATTCCCAGAACAACACTGCAAAGAAGCATTGAGGAACACGAACACCCCATCACTTTACGATAGAAAACAGGAATTAACAACAAAACTTTTAAAGGGAAGTGGCAATATATTTTTTTATTTTCTCATTTGAAAGAACTTTTGAAACTATTTAATAACTTCTTTTACTGACTCTTCATATCTTGCTTAGTTCTTGAAATATTTTCACTTGAAGTAATAAGATGTCGGCCATCTTGGATAAATTTTTGATCTCATTAACGATAGTTTTGGTGACGTCACAACAGGGATTAACCATATAAAAGTATTCGTTGCTGACCAAATATTGATTGGTAGATGTTTTAAACGTTTCAAGTGATCTTGATATTTACAAGGGCATACAGAGTATAGTTTTGAGTGCAAAATGATTAGTGGTTGTCTAGATAGAAATATTCCGTGATCCCTGTTGTGACGTAACATGCATGTCTACAAAAATCCACGATGGCGGACATTTCATTTCTTTCGATTAAAATATTTGTAGAAGTAAGCAAGATATGTAAAAACGGTAAAAGAGTTTTATATATGCTTTTTAATGTTTTTTCAAACGAGAAAATAAAAAAATATATTGCCATTTCCCTTTAAGGACATAGTCAATAACCCTGAGCACAAATTAACGGATTTGTTACCGTAACAGATTGTAACAGATTTGGGAACAGTTTTATCACTTATAACGCTAATAAGTTTTCTGAATAACTTAGAAACTGTTTTTACCATAAATATGCTGGGTTTTTAACCTAATTTTAATTATAGCACTAGAGAGTGTTTTAGTAACAAATTATAAGTCTGCGCATATGTGTATATGAATGTGTATTTTCAAGAATTTTTGTCTAATTTTATTCATTTTCTTAAACAAAATACTTGTAAAAATTAGTTTATCTTTCTTAATATCTTTGTAAACCTAACATATTTCAGCAGCGGAATTAGATATATTCTGCAGCTGTAAGTTTAGTGTCAAATAAACTATCAAACTATCAAACTATCAGAGAACTGGCGATATCCGAACCCGGACCCTTCCGTCACCAATAGGGAGCTTAAGCATGTAGGGCGGCAACACGACGACGACGGCCAAAACAAATTCCTTCAAATAAATGATAGTAAAGAAAACTTGTCGTATATTATAATTCGTATGAATTTAATACAGTATAAGAAGTTGAAAACATTGCCTTATGTTTGGGAAGAGTTTACTAAATATTAGATATTCATAACATTGTTATATACTTGCATCGATGGCACTGATAACTGATAAGTACTGCATGTAAGTGCGTGGATCTATGATCTATATTTGTGCAACGTCAAATCCAAATGAATACGATTTCGATTAACATTTCTATAACGCAAAATACGAATATCTACCATACTTTAATGATCATGCACGATGGACGATAGTTTGTAGACGTACACGAATACGATGCCGCTACTGTATTAACTGCCTGACGAAGGGTCTTCGCTCAAAACGCCAAATATCCATGCACTTGTATTTTTTAGGTAGTTGCATATCTCTAGCATCAATACGCAGTTATTTACTTTTTATGACGATCCGGACGGAATTGTCTGTCGCATCATAATTAATAATTCATGAATATAAGTCAGTGCGTAATGTGGTGTGGCATCCGGATCCTTTTATACAAATTTCTCCTAATTTGCATGAACGTTTTCTTGGAATTTCTCGGTTAAAGTGATTAATTTTAAACTAAACAATTTTTTAAATCCTTGCGTTTCACAACCTATGCAACATGCTGGCACAATGTTTTAGGGTTTTGATGAACGGAAATTTCAAGCAAAATCTCTGCACACTTTTTGGGGTAAGCAAGAAAACCGAAATGATATGCTATAAAGTAAAAAGTGCAAGCAACCGAATTTCAAAATAGAGCACTGCTTCTGAAGGTGACCACATTATTATTATTATTATTATTATAAATTTCCAAACTAGCAGTAACAACTGAATTACTTTGGAATTACAGGGTATAAGAACATAGGTATTTAATCTATTCTATATTTACAGGTAAAAATAGGTAAGTTAGGTAAAAATAGCGATAATAATCTAAAGTTTACTTATTATTATAAGCACGAGACGCAGCAGGAATGAAACTGTTCGAAAAACGTTCAGTTCTACACCTAGGTACTAATAAGTTGGGATAAGACCTCAGATTATAAGTTTGAAGACTTTTAGGCGGTACTAAGGCATTCAGTTTATGAGTGGGTTCCACCATCTTCGAAAAAAGTCGCTTGCAATGGACAGTTCTACGTTCGTAAAGAGTCATCAAGTTAGCTTTAAGCAAACATTCAGCATAGATAGTTCCAGGGAAAATAATTTTTAATGCCCTTTTTTGTATTTTTTCAACTTGATCACTCAGGTAATGAGGAAGGCCATAATGCCACACCTCGAATATGTGTACAATAGGTTGAGATCAGAATATGAGAAGGTAAAGCATTTCTTTTAAGAAGGCGCAGACCGTACAAACGCTTCGAGGCTTTCTTGCAAATGTAGTCAATATGGCAGTTCCATTTGAGGTCGTCCGAAAGGACAACACATACTAGGCGTTTACGATTTCATATTGAAGAGGGAACTAATACACACACACATTTATACATACACACACATAAACACATATGTAGACAGAATTGAAAAAGAATAATAAAAGACTTGCCCCAGGGAACATCGATATCTGCCTTTCTCAATATGCTTCTTGCTTTATCACCAGAAGAAATGTTTCACAATCTACACAGCTACTTATAACTTCCCGACAAAAGGGCCCGGCTTCGCTCGTCGAAGTTCTCCTTGGCCTTGAATTTTTCAGGTATTTTGATATTGTGGAAATCTGGCTAATCGTCTGGCTCGGATATGGTCGGAAGGACTGGAAGCGGTCGCTTTCGCCGAGTCTTCGAAGTAGGCCAGGTCGTAGGCTGTGATGTTACGCATTCTGAAAAAAATTGAGAATCTTTACTATTTCGTTCATTTATTCTGTTAAAAAATTATTTCAAAGGAACTCTTAAAGTTATACATTAAACTCTATTACCTATTTGTCATATCTTCCTTAGTTCTCGAAATATTTAGACCGAAATTAACAACATGAGCTCCACCTTTGAATTTACTATATGAGTAAATTCTTAAACACGCCCGAATTTATCATTATGATAAATTCGCGGCACATTTTGAATTTATCGATAGAGTTAATCATAAAACCACCAGCAATGCACAAGGTTTCCCGTTATAAATGTAATGGCACTAAAAGGGAGGCCGGTCGCGCACGGGTGGGAAGTTTTTCAGTGTTTTTAAAAAGATAGTTTTTAAAAAAGTTTTAAAAAGTTTTAAAAGGGTTTTGAAAAGCAAGAAAAGTTTAAAAAGTTAGATTTTTAAAAAATTTAAAAAAATTTAAAAAGTTAAAAAAATTAGGGTTAGAGGGGTTAGGGGTTAGGGTTAGGGGTTAGTGGTTAGGGTTGGGGTTGGGGTTAGGGTTAGTGTTAGGTGCCGCGAATTTATTATTATGATAAATTCAAAATTTGCCGCGAATTTATCATAATGATAAATTCGGACGTGTTTAAGAATTTACTCATATAGTAAATTCAAAGGTGGAGCTCATGCTGGAAATTAATAAGCTGCCCGCCATCTTGGACTAATTTTTGACCTCATTAACTATGGTTTTGATGACGTCCGGAGTTGGGTTAACCATATAAAACTACTCTAAAATGACCGAGTAACAATCCAAAATTGTTTGAAATATTTTTAATCATTTCTAAATTTCAGACAGCAACCAGAAACGAAGCTTTGGACCCATATTGATCGCTACTCTCATAATAAAAAATTAGCGTGACCCCTCTCTTGACGTAACATGCATATCCTCAATAATCCAAGATGGCATACGGCTCACTTTTTTCAGTCGAAATATTTCGAAAACTAAGCAAGATATAAACAATCTGTAATAGAGTTTAATATATAGTTTTAAGAGTTCTTTCAGATAAACTGAATAATTTTTTAATGCCAATGTCCTTTAAGGACGAAGATGGCTAACCACTGTTCATACCACTAGTTCGAAACTGGGATTATGGAATCAGCTCAAGTGTTTGTAGGAGGAAATAATGTACACTCACCTTCTTTGTCTATCAGCTCGGGTAGGAAAATTGGTACGCGAAGAGTTAGACGACCTAAAAAGGAACAAGAAAACATAATTAAAATTATGCCACGCGCAACAACTTCTACTTATAATCATTAAGGGGTAATTTTATAATTATATTCCATATTTTAGGATGCGCAAAATTAAAATAGGAAAAGGATTCCAATACAACATTCTAAATTTCAAGGCCCGGTTTAGATGACGAACTTTTCATGCGCCAAATCAAATTAACTGCACAAGTTTAGGCAACTGTATTAATTCATTAAAAATAGACAAAAGATGGAATCCATCAACTATGACATATAAATAAAGTGCTGATTAATTTAACACCGCGCATAAAACAGTGAAAACAGTGAAAACAGTAAAAGATATCACCCTTTATTTCAAACAAAATCATTGTGTATTCCGCCTCTTAGATAGAGTAAATCCATTAAAAAATAGATCGCTTATAAAGCTGGGACAAACAAGAATGAGAGTTGTCACACATTGTTACAGGGGACATTTCAAGCTGCAAATCAACAAAATAAAGGTTTGACGAGTGTTCCAGCTAAAATACATGATATAAATTATAAAATACATGATAGTGCATGTCGGGAAATATAAAATACTTAACAATTATTCGCCGAAGGCGAGGTGATTATCGTGGAATATTCGCCGAGACGAAGTCGACGTGAATATTCCCCGATAATCACCGAGCGTGAGGTTTTGTGTTTTTTTGAGGCTGAATTTATTTTAATTTCGCTTATTCCACAAAACGGGAAGCCGCCATTTTATATCGGATTCGTATTTGCTCATTTGTTATCCATTTGGCATGAAGAACATATCATTCAACAGCTAGAAGCCTGATCTTTCCGAATATGAAAAAATCTCGTTCATACACAGAGTAATTGAGATAGAATACCGCGCTGAAGTTCGATTACCTTTTTTATACATCCTATATATCCCGAGTTAGGGCAGCTACACTAGAAATGTATATTCATAATGTTTTACCTTGAATAGGGCATTATTAAGCCGCATCATAAATTGCTCGAAGAGGTGAAGTGTTTTTGTCAAATTACTTTGATAGGTAACCGGTCGAGGTACTGGTAGTGGCGATGGAATCATGCCAAAGCTGTGAACCTCGCATTCAAAAACCGTCTGCTTGCTAGGTTTTCCCTCGTGGCGTCGATTGCCGGGCTGAATTGGGCGTCGACGACAACAATTCTCGTCGAAGTTACCGGAAGGTGTTAGGGCGAGGACGATGATCTGCCAAGATATATCAATTGACGTAGAATACCGAAGCGTACTAGCTGCGAGCCTGCGACCATTTCGTTGACAAAATCGTTATTGTGGTCTTGAAACGACATTAAAAAGTACGCGAACCAGAATGTCGCCGTCCTCACAGTTTCGCGATTTAATGGGGACAACGTCCGCCTGTCTGTCCTCATTGCAGATAACGTTGAAAATAATTTCGTCGCTGCAAATGTCGCTTCGCGAATAAACGATAAAATAAAAGACGGCAGGAAAAATGGCGTTGTCATGGTCTCCTCGAAAAGCTTCGACTGCGGTTATGGAGGAAATAAAAAATCGTATGCTGTGCTTTGTGTTTATACGCTTTAAAGAGATCAAATCGCGTGCGAGATGAATGGCTCGATTACGCACACCCGCACACGCCATACAGCTCGGCAGCAAACTGAAATGTAGTCATTTTCAATCTGAAAAAGAATTAAAATACGGTTGTCAACAGAATAATACATGTTTAGGATAAACGCTAGCGCATCCTTTTACAGTTTTAGGAACGCTATTTTCAGAGGAATTATTGCAACGGACAGATGTCGTTTCGCTCAGCTTCTCAGTGAAAGTTGTGCATTCCAAGCTTAATAGCTTTTACTAACTGCACGTTCCGACGAAAGACTTCGCTCAAAACGTCGAAATTCTGCGGCTGCCTTGATATTCCTACTATTTAGATAATAGAACGGATCGATTTTTTTTCACGTCCCTACAGAAAGCTATCCGTAAAACGTAGCCTAAGTTCTCAACGAAGTGCTTCGCTCGAAACCCCGTTGTATTTCCTCAATAGGGAGCTTAAGCATGTAGAACGGCAACACGACGACGATGGCAACCAATATAATGAGTCAATGAAAAGTGAATAAATAATTAAAGTCCCAGGGGAGTTTCAGACGTAGTCGTCGCTCTGTTTACAACGGCAAATCACAGATTTTCACGTCTTTTATACAGTACAACGCCTGCATTTCAAGCCGTAACAGGTGCAACTTAAAATTCGGTCAGTGGAACTCTTCTCAAACACAAAGCCAATGTTTTCAGCTTCTTATACAGTATTAAATTCATACGAATTATAATATACGACAAGTTTTCTTTACTATCATTTATTTGAAGGAATTTGTTTTGGCCGTCGTCGTGTTGCCGTCCTACATGCTCAAGGGAATCTTTAGTTAACACATCAATAGTTTCCTTTCAAAAAGGTGTTCACTTACCAAACTAAGTATATTCGCTCGTAGCGAGTTTTTAACTCTGGTTTGAGTTGAGTTGTTTTGCAGGTAATCGTACAGGCATTCTCGTGTTATCTATATATTGCGTTTCAAACTAGCTTAGCTAAAGCGTATAGCATAAGACAAGAACGAAATAAGGCCGCACCTATTCTCGTGGCGTTTATTTTATAGGCCAACTAAGTGAATGATCTTGAATATGCAAAAATGCTGCAAAGTAGAGAATATTTTAATTGCACTCTGGTTGCGCTGAAAAGGAACGGGGTGTACAGTATAAAAAAAACGCAACCTCGGAATTTCCCAAGAAATCGACATTGTTTTAAAGACAAAGATTTTAGGCGCCTGGGAATTCCAAATAGCACAACTGTCAAAATTACTGCACACGCGAATGCGTAAAGCAAAATTTATGCTTTTATTTAATGACACTTAATGAGTTTTTATTTTACAAGTACAGTACAACAACAGTAATATGATCTATTAGCAATTCGATTTCAATTCCCTGTGGCCTAAAATCTTTTATGCTTAAGAATTGCAAAGTGGATTTCTTAGGAAATTCCGAGGTTACGTTTTTTTATACACCCTGTACTGTATACAGGGTATATGAAAAAACCCCGCAACCACGGAATTTCCTAAGAAATCCACTTTGCAATTCTTAAGCATAAAAGATTTTAGGCCCCTGGGAATTGAAATCGAATTGCTAATAGTTCATATTACTGTTGTTGTACTGTACTTGTAAAATAAAAACTTATCAAGTGTCATTAAATGCATAAGCGCGTATTATGCACTCGCATGTGCAGTAATTTTGACAGTTGTGCTATTTTAAATTTCCAGGCACCTGTCCTTAAAACAATGTCGATTTCTTGGGAAATTCCGAGGTTGCATATTTTTATACACCCTGTATAGTTTTGTATGATAAGTCCCAATGGGCAATGGAGAAAGTCCGCGTGATAAGTTTGTATAAGTCCCAATGCCATGCAGGCTGCTCCATTTACTGTTCTAGAACATTTGGAACAGTGTTCTGGAACGATATGAAATGCAAGCTGCTCCATTTACTGTTCCGAGTACTCCGGATTTTCGGAACACCAATGGAATGGAACAGAAGACAGTCACATGACTGTTCTGAACTGTTCTGACTACCTAATTTACTGTTCTCGAACATTTGGAACACTCTTCTGGAACAGTGTTTATGTTTAAATTAAAATCTCCGAACAGTAAATGGAGCATCATGCCGATTTCCGAGTAGTGACAGCCAGAACAGACACGTGACAGATATCTATTGAGCTTACTGGCCTAACAGTAACCCATGTGGCTTTGTGCTGTAAGCCATTGTTCAATGTTGCTATATCAAGGTATTGTAACAGGAAGTTGAAAGTAAAAATTTCAGATTTTCAATCCTGCACAATTTCGTATTCAATTAGATTTTAATTTTTTGGACTAAAATGCTATAGAATGCTAGAAAAAATATATTCAGCCAGGCAGATAAAAACTGTAGACGTGGTAATTGTATTTAAGCCAGTAACAGACAGGCGATTTTTTCTATAACAAGCACATTTTGTTTAAAATCTAACATAGTAGCTTTTGAACAATGTTCTTTTCATACAGATAAACATGGCAAAGTACAAATTTTCCTCGTCTGCAAGGGTCGACAAAGAAAATTTGAGGAAGTAACTTGGGCACTTTAATGCTGTTGGATAGGTATACTGTTATTGTCAGAAAACCGAAAGCGTTTCAAAGAAACTTTGGTATACAGTGTCCCAAAAAAGTGACACTATAGAAATTATCTCATTGTGATTACACGCCTGGGAATTTAATGAACTTGTATTTACATTTAAGCATTTTAAAACGTTTTCGCTTTGTCCGAATATTTTAACGCCCGAGTCAAGCAAAACGATTACACTAATAAACGGGATTACACTAATAAACGGGATTACACTAATAAACGGGATTACACTAATAAACGGTTTGCTTTTTTATTTTAAATTCCAGAAGCAGATCGAAGTTTATGCACCTGTGGGATCAACTTAGTGCTAGGCAGGGGCGGATCTAGGATTTTTCGCACGTTAGTCAAAAATCTATGACGTCATCGATGACGCAAAACGTGATGACGTCATTTGCCATGACGTCATTCGATGTCACGATGATAGTCCAATTTTCGTGGGAGTATAGATATTTCATTTTATCAAACTACAAATGCGCAAATGACATAGTTTTCGAACCTGGCAATGTTCAGCATATATATGAGATATGATAAAGTATTATATAGACTGTTTTGCCCTACAGTATATACCTTGGTTCATCAGCATGCCTAGGAAACACATTTACCAAAAATAGTAAACCATGATCCAACAAGGACAGCTCCTTGAAAAAGCTGAACACAATAACATGTTTCTGGCACCTTAAAACTAGATTGCTTGCCTTCACACCTTTTGCAAGAGCAAAAGGAGTTTGGTTAGAACTTAGAAATGGGTGACAATGAAAACCACCTAAAATGAGCAATCTGGTTTTAAGGTGCCATAAACCCACCTCACACCTTTCACCATAGCAAAAGGAGCTTGGTTAAAAATGGGTGACAATATGTGAAATTGCCCAGTTTTTCCCTTTAGCCCCTTCCCCATTCCCCCAATTACTAACCTATGTCTAATCTAATTAAATTCATCATCTTGTTATATACTGTCCACTATGAAAATGTATAACATCACAAGTGAAATGGTGCCTCAAAGCTGCAGCTTCAGTGGAAGCCAACTTTTATTGAAAACAAGTTTATTTTACCTGGCATTTTAATTAAACATATTTTAATCACAGTAGATTCAAATAAAAAAGATTCATTACAAATGACTATTACTTTACTTATCTACAGTGTAGTTATCTGAAATAATTGGCACTATGCTTACATACTGTATATAGACACATACTATCAACGTGTTTGCATGTCAGGGCCTGAAATAACATTCCCAAAATTCCCGATCATGGTGATTGATCATGGTGATTGATCATGGTGATCGGCAGTCATGACTATCCCTGCTTTTCAGGTTGAAAACCCTGCTTTTCCGCTGCATGATCATAAGCAATTTCTTGCTGATTATTGATTGGTAATCAGTTGTTATTTCAAGCCCTGGTCTGTTGAAAAATTTAACTGGTTCAAGCTAGATGCAATGGACCCATCTCAAGCCAATGAGATCAGACCGATATTTGGCATCAGCTTTTGTCTACAAAGCCTGAATGTTTGGGGAGGGGGGAGATTATGGGAATTAAGGTGGTGATCTTGAAAGGCTAAGTTTGGCTAAGGAAGTTTTTTTCTCATGCCCCAGGAAGTTTTTTCTCATGTCAGTGTTGTGTACAAGAGTGAGGTTATTGTTATTGGAGGCGAGAGTGGTCTTTTTGCAAGCCGATATATTTAACTTTAACCTCATATGTTCCAGAAAATGTATTAATAAAGTTTCCTACAGTATGTTCGGAATAATATCCTGGTGAATTTGCATCATGACCAAGCCAAGTAATTTAATTTAATTAGTCTTCAACCATAGTGCTTCTTCGCTTATACTGTATAAAAAAGTGACCTACTGTATAGACCTTTCACACTTGCACTGTAAACATTTAAACTATCAAGGTCAAATTTATAGGTCATTGGTACCTGTCAATGCTTAGGAAACAGAGCTGTACAGGCAATTGCCAGTTGCTTAGATCTAAAAATATAACCAAAGATTATATTATTATTATTATCTTCATAAAGTACATTTGTAGAGCTATTATCAGTCAATCAATACTCTATAAAGCATGTACACAATAAATATTTTTTATCCAACATGATCAAATATTTGAGATCAAGTTTCTGCCACTTGAGGTGTTTTAATTTTATACACATATAAATGAATATGTATGCAGTATATGAAACTTTGGACCTATAACCTCGCACAATTATGCAAATCGTACGTTCAATTCAACGATTTATTGTTCAAAATTCAAACCACTTTACCTTATTGCCATACACCTCTTATTAATCTCTTGAAAATATAGACGACGAGAAATCAACACATCATAGTTTCGGTCAAGACAATTTTCTTGCATCCATCGAATTTATCAGCTTGAAATATTCTCCACAGAACACCAGAGAGCATCCCTTATCGTAACAAATAACGATATAACCCTTTCGAAATCTTTATTTCGAAAATAGTTCAACAAATATACTAAGATTAAGCGAAATAATTTGCTTGTAAAATTGCACAGAGCTGCAACAGAGCTACCAAGTGCACATTGCTTCCAAATTGAAGATTAGAAGGCCAATCAGAGGAGATGTTCTTTAACTCTTTTGCGCAAATTGTCCAATCAGAAGCTGCTATCTATTTGCAGGATTAGTCAAAATAGTCAAAATTGCGCAATCGTTAGTCAAAATAGGTCTGACCAATCAACATGCCTGTAATGTGTAATCTGAGCAAATTTGACCAATCAAATCACATGAACTAAAATGCAGAATAGTCAATTTTCATTTCAATACCGCTTATTTGACTTATCGTTTGACTAATCAATCGCTGGCTCAATGTGCAAAAACTGATCGAAGTTTATATGCTGGAGTGTGATGTAGTTTTGATTGCATGATCAGAAATGAAGAGAAGCGTTTGCGCTGGGAAAAAATTCAAAAACCTTAGTCCAAATTTTTTTATATGCCTTTTTTTTACGTTAGTCGCGTGACTAATCTGACTACCCCTAGATGCGCCCCTGGTGCTAGGGCATTCAAATTATAACAATAGGATAATTTCTATAGTGTCACTTTTTTTTGGGACACCCTGTACACACACGGAAATTGACAAATAAAACTTGCCATTTGAAAACTTGTAATAAAGAACTTACTGGTCTGTAACCGCTTTATGGCGAAAATGATTTGAGGAATATATCAAAAAAGGTATCGTTGAAATTTCACATTGTTTTTGCTTTTCATTTTTTATAATCACATAAGGGATTTTTTACATTTTAATTTAAAGTCATTTTTGATAGGCGCTGCGTTTGATTATATTTGATTATATTCTACTCGTATATTAAAGTATTTATTCCTACAATTTACGGATTAAAAACATTCAAAGTCAACTTGTTATCTCACTACACGAATCCAATATTCATGCACTGAAACAACCAATGATTTCCAATTACAAAAAAATTATCAATATGGTTATATTTAACAATCCACTGTATCTCAAATTACTTTTGGTACCTAATTTTCTGGTACCTTAATCGTTCATTGTAAATGCAAGATGATTAAAGTCAACTTGTTGTCTCAAGGAAATGAGTTCAACATTTTTACATTGTTCAGACAACAACAGCACTGGCATAGGATCTCCCTCGAGACATTTCTGGCAGTTCTTGCCAAGTATAACTTTCAAAGTTGAAAGCTTCAACTGACTTTAAGTAACGTCCTTGCTCATCCTTCCCTCCCAGTACTACAATGTTGTTTCCAATAACAACTGCAGTACATGCCCATCTCTTACGTCTCATCCGTGGCAGCATGTGACTTTGCTCAGTCTTGACATTGTAAATGATAACTGTGTCTAATGCATTGTGACGTTTGCCCTTGCCGCCTGTAACAACAATGTTGTCCCCCCATCTCACGGTTGCCATCAGACTCACTTCATACGGCAGTGGTTCCAACTGTTTACATTCATTCTTCTTTATATCATACAGTAAGACACTGCTGAGGTTGTCTTGGTAACTACCAGTTGTTCTTCCACCAAGAATCAACAAGTTATCATCAAATAATTGCGTGCCGTGATTCTGTCTTGGTTCTGGCATTCCTGACAAGGTCTTCACAGTATATGGAGGCACTAGCTGGACTTCATGAATACAATCAGACACTGCATTTCCGTTATAACCACCAGTCACCATCAAGTGATCATTATACAGCACACTGCTGTGGTATGCCAACTTAGCAGGCAGTTTAACAGGACAGTCACTCCAGTGCATTGAGAGATCAGACTTTGGGTTGATATTTAATCTAATCATATCATCGACACGGCCAGAACAGCAACCTCCAACAACTGTCACATGATTGTTGTAAACAAATGAAGTCGCACCAAAACGCTCCTTTGGCAAGGATTGTAATGGCGACCATGTTCTTTGACGCCAGTTAAACATCTCTACAGAGTCAACTAGATAACCTCCAGCAACAACTATATTTTCCTTATCACCACTTGCTCTATTTCTTACTTTTCTTGTGTTTTCTTCCTTAATGACCTCCGTCTTGACAAGAACATCCTTCATTTCATCAAAACCTTCCATCAAAGTCGTTTTCAATCCTCTCACCTCATTATTCACTGCTTCGAGCTTTCCTTCCATATCCGCGGTGTTTTTCTCCATATTTTTCATGTGGGTTTCCATGGTAACCAGAGCTCCCATATTAGTCGCCATATTCTTTTCGACATTGGCCAATCGCGTCTCCATATTCGCCGCATTCGTCGCCATACTCGTTTGCATATTCTTCATGTGGATTTCCATGGTAACGACAGCTCCCATTTTTTCCATATTTGTCGCCATATTCCTCTCGACATTTGCCATTCTTTTCTCCATCTCTGCCAACGTTTTTGTCATTTCCCCGCACGAGTGGCACTTCAGCTTTCGAAATTCGCAAATTTCACTTTCATGGTGAATAAGATCACGCTGGTTTAAAGTTGCACCACAGCCTTGGTTTGAACAAACGGCAGGTGTAAATCCACATGTAGCCTCATGGTTGTCAAGATGTTGTAATTGTAGGATGTCTTGGCAACCTCTATTTATGTAAATGCAATGAATGTTTAATTCATTTATATAATCTTTTACCATTCGTGGTGGTTCGGCCAAAGTCTCCACAGTCAGTTCGTCCCCACACGTAGGGCATCTTCGAGAATTTTCCAGGTGTTTCGTAATACAAGCACGGCAGAAACAATGATGGTTTCTCGGACACAGGATGGGCTCTCTTAAAACGTTGAAGCAAATCGAACAGAGGAAATTTCGATTGACTGTGGTTGCAAACCTTTCCTCATCATACCCTGGTATATAAGACGCCATATTTCACGCCATTCGTGTTTCGTAATAACAAAGCAAGTTCTGTGTTGATGTTAGTCGCTCTGTAGTATAAACCTCGCTATATAAACTGACTATAGATACAGTGTTCGTTCTTGAGAAAGCTTGTATTAGTATTTGCTTGAAATCTTTGACAAAATGATCAGTTAAATATCACTTCCGCATAAAGTGTTTAAAGCGTCTTTACCAGACAGAAATTTGCTGGCATGAAATACAATATTTAATGTATTGCGACTAAAGGTCATCACCTGATATTAATAGTGGCTTGCAATTGGTTACATTATGTAAACAGGAATTTAGTGTTTCAAAATATGGAAATCAGTTCCAGAAAATGATGTTTTATACCAAGAAAATCAATCTTAACAATGTATATAGATTGCGCAAATTTTTGCTAGATCGATGTGGACACTGTATTACAATTTGCTTTAAATCATTCACAAAATTGTGTCTTTAGAGCAACAGACCAATATCGCTTCCGTAAAAGCGTCTTTTGCAGAACTGGTATTTAATACTTTTATTTGTGGAAACACCACGTTAATTTATTACTGCAAAGCTTTTGATCCGTAAGGCCGGATCTTCATCAGTGCTAATAATATGCACATATGTGCTAATATGACCGGGCTTATACGTATCGAAAGCTTTGCAGTTATAAATTAACGTGGTGTTTCCACAAGCAAAAGGTATTACATGTTTTAACGCCATGCAATCATACAAATAACTTATTAAGACTGATATCTGTTTAAACAAGATAGAATATTCAATGTACCGCGATGGGTGGTTATCACCTGATATTAATACTGGCTTGCAATTGGTCACAATATGTTGACAATAATTTCTTGATATTTGCTGTATTGGTGTAATAATTTGTTATTTCAAAATATAAATGTGAGTTCCACGAAAATGATTTTAATACCAAAAAATGACTACTTGCCATATATTAATTCCCCGAGCCAGACGAGATTACTTGACACTCCGCTCGGCTATTTACACCCGAGAAAATGCTAACTCATGGGTGGTCCGAGAATGAGAAAGACTTTTAAAACATGCGGGAGTGTGTATATATTACTACACTGCTTGTATTGAATGCACGAACATATAGTTAAGGCAAACGAAAACAACGCTGTTCCAATATTAATGAAGTGAACAGGGCCGTAACTAGACGTGATAATTGCATGGCGGGGGGGGGGGGTGATATATATATATACTCATGCTCTGCCCGACGGATTTTATTTGAAAGCGATTGTTTTTACGGTATGTGAATGTGATTATATGAATATTCACCCCCCTCCCCAAATTATCTCGTCTATAGCTACAGCCCTGGAAGTAAAATGTATCATCCACAAAATGTAAAATGTATCATCCACATATGTAACATCCACAAACACATATTTAAGAATATAGTAACAAATGGCTATTTCATATGGCAAGTGAGAAAATCACAAATTTTGAAACCAATAAATATGTAACGACTTATGTTACGCATGAAAGATTATGAGTTGAAATGAATATTTATTGCATGGTTACATTTGGGCCACACCCTCCCCCTTGACGTTCTACCATTCTTTCGACATAGAATAAAACTTGGCTTTAAACCCTGATTCAGCCATTAAACTTTCTGTGCAGCTCATTAAAAGCCATAGTTTGGTTTTCTGTCCTGTCAGTAATATATCAACACTTATTTTTCACCCTGCTCGGTTTCCTTTGTTCTTGTCGGGGAATATATTCAATATTCCCCTCTAATCAGTTTCCGTTTAATAATCCCCTCTAATATTCACCTGCAATTAATAATCCCCTCTAATATTCACCTGCAATGTCTTTGCAGCACAAAAAATGAGAAAAAACAACATCGCAAAAGCAATATGGCATTGAGAATTATTTCTTTTCTGACTCATTAACGCGACCTCGCAGTGTGAAAAATAAGTACGTTATTTTGAGGCACCTCGGGGATATGTGTTTATTCACCTCAGCGCTGCGCGCCTCGGTGAATAAATCACATATCCCCTCGTTGCCTCAAAATAACCTATACATATTAGTCCTAGTCTCTGGAACACTAGCAAAATATATATTTCATGGAATATCAAGAGATTCTTGACGGAGTGAACAGCTACCACGCACACTATGTAATGTCCGTAACATTTTATGTAACGTCCGTATCATATAGCATTTCACAAGAAATAAATTGCAATATAGAATTGTATCACCATACCAAGACTTCTAGCCTGTTTTAAACAAGACGCTCGATTGAGCGTGAATTCGCTGCGACTATATAGAAATATGTAATTCTAAAATATCGGCGTTGTACAAGTATAGATTGACGTCCCAATAGCAATGAAAATTGTGAACAGTTTTAATACAATTTTTCCAGTTAATTCCAGTTTTTTTCTAATGGACCGTATCGCTAATCAAGTTACAAGTTTTACCAGTTCATAAAACCATAGTATTATTTTTTTAAAAATATACATAAAAATATTACTCGACTGTGATTGGTTGATTTCAGTGCATTTAATCCCAAACAGCGGTGCAAAAACTGTAACAACAGTGCAAAAATCTGTAACAAACTGATCTGATTGGTGGAAAAACATTGTAATGATAAAATCAACAAATCGGTTTAAAGCAGTTTAGTTTAATTAAAGAAGTATAAACGGTCACAGATTGCTTCAAAACAAAACGAACATGGCGCCGCGCTACTGAAGTTGTCTTCGCGTGGAAAATATGGCTTTTATCTTTATTTTTAAATGGAAAAGCATTTACCTTAAACAAGACCAACAAAACTTAAACTGTTGAGTGGAATTTTCACGCTGTTAGCTTTGTATAATGTGATATAACAAAGCCAGGAAAACTTTGCCAGTGGAATGTTGGCTATAAACGTAAGTTAAAACTACAATTGTCTCGAACA